GAGGGTGCGATGACGGGGAGCGCGTCCTTCCCGCAACACATGTGCTCCCCGTCTTCAGAGCGGAGCAGCGCGGAGCATGCTACAAGAGGGGTGGGTGGGTGTGAATATTAATATGGGGAAAAGACGCGCACGCACACCGGCTATGGGAAGAGGGACTGCGCAGCATTGAGCATGCTAAGTGCAAAGCAGCTCAATATAGCAATTATTCACTGCACAACTAAAACCCGCTTTGGCTGGTAGGTGCTACAACAGCCAAGCGCCCGAGACATTGGTGTGCTCACATGGATGGAAGGATTGATCTGCTCCTCTTAGTGAATGGCATTGATCCCAATGCCTAAAAGTCGCTGCTGCCAAGAAATGCTAGAAGCCTTAATAATACTAGTATGAAAGCAGCTGCCCCGTCCGGTCAAGCCCTTGAGGACTGGCGCTATCGGCAGCCCATCACCGTAATATCCAAGTATCATAGTTGAAATGAGAGACATGAAAAGAGTAACACCGGTCGCCACTCTCTGGCTTCCCCCTCTCCATCTGAACCAGTTGATGCCCTTTGCTACTTCTGCTCTAGAAAAAATGTTTTACCTGCTGCCCCGATGTACCAGTCGCTTCCATTAAACTACTGCCCTCATCTGCACTGAAAGCCAGCAGCACCTCCATTGCCATCAGCATCCAGACACGTCCTCGAAACTGCACAGGCTACCCCCACAACACCGCCTTCAAAGAGCAGCAAGAGCAACACTGCTCTCTATACCCTGCAAGGAGGTTTGGGGGCTGTTGTGTCCCCCGGACAAGTCTCGGCAAGGTGGGAGACAGGGCTTTAGGAGGAATCTGGCTTTTCCCCACCTTACGGGCATACCGTAACATCCTCAGCACCTCAGATGAATTTGGAGACACAGGCTGAGGACCCCGCCTGGGCAGGCAGGAAGACAAGCACAAAAAGAAACGGAGCCATTAATGTGGCATGCACTTCATTTTCCAATGGCTGCATTTTTCTAACAAAACATCGCTGCCATCTTCCATTTCACTCGGGGAGTCGGAAAGCATGGAGAAGCTGGACAGGAAGACTTCAGGTCCTCCTTTGAGCAGAAGAGCGCACTGTTCAGATCATATTTGACACCATGACTCTCATTATTGAGTCAGCCGTTACAAAAATACCCAGTTCCATGAATGGGCGCCTCCCTTCAGTGCCAGAGCTATACAATACTTGGTGGTATTGCTTTATAGCAAACTAGTGAATAGTTCTTTCAGTTTGAAACGTGACCATTTGCACTCTCTCCCCTGTCCTCTCCCCCACCCCCAAATTTCACGCTCTGACAAATGGATGCTCAAAGCAAAACTCCAGGGGAAGACTCCACTTTTTACCAGGATTCAAACAATAATCAAGTGAGCCTCAAAAACTAGCATAGCTATGATATGAAGTCACAGAGAAGGCCTGGAGTCTGCCAGCCTCAGTGGCTCTTTCTGGGAATTTGATCCGAGTTTCACGTTCTTAAGAAGATTTCGAAGGAGAAGAGCGTTGGTGCTTCCATTTGGCACAGCTCTGACCGCTTATCTGAGGACTGGAAGCATCCAAATATATTAGGTACCAACCTATAAAATCAGAGGAATGATAAAGACCTGATACTAAGATGCAAGCTGATGTATTAGCCCAGGAGGCAATCTGTTTGGATAGGCTCTTTTTCCCTTAAAACAGCTTAAGTGCTACTTATGACCAGGCCACTAAATAGATCATGCTCAGCTAAAGGATGCACATTCCTCTGCTGCTGATCTCCCCAGGTTCAGTGCACCGTGACAGTGTTACACCGATTACTGGAAAAAATCACTTGGAATTGGCCGTGTGGACATGGGGCTCCAACAATTTGATGCTGAATGGGCATGGCCATAGCGGAGACAAAGTTCAGGATAAAAATCCTTCCCAAATCCAGGTATAATGGAGGCTCATTTGAAGAAAGGAGTTAGTTTTGCTGGAAGCAACAAGTATTTGCCTGGTACATGAACTATAATATAGGATGTTATCTTTTTAAAGATGGGGGAGGCATTTCTATGAATGGCATCGTCCACCACATCTAGCCGGTCAGTGTTGTCCGAGGTTATGATGTCCAGGCTGAAAGAAGTGCATCGCTTCTGGGAAAAGACAGGTCATTGGTAGGGTTAAGTCATTCGTTCTTTGGGGTTTCTGAAGCAAGCTCCACCTCTCTGCACTTGGATGATATATGAATGGCCTACTCCAAAGAAAGTCTGTCGGGCCCAATGTTCATTCATCTTAACAAATGTCTTACAGGAAAAAAAAATAAAGAAATGGTCTCAAACAGAGCTCGGCAACCTGAGGCCAACAGGCCAGACCCAGCCTGCAGATGTGAGGCTTCAGCAAAGTTCAGTGGTGGGCACTTTCCCCAACACTGCTGCAAGGGTTGGGGGGGACGGCACCAGCAAGCACTTCCCCCGTGCCACGGAGGTGAGAAGCGGCAGTGGTGGCCAGGTCCTAGCGTCTGCCTGCCTACCTCTGACCCAAGCTCGGTTGTTCTGGTCCACAGTCTGAAAAGGTTGCCGACAACCGGTCTATAAAAGAAAGGAAGGCCGTGTCAACTTTATTGGCATACTGCATTTCACTAGCGTTCAAGGGGTTAAACTCGGAGGCCTCTCCCTTCATTTCTACATTTCATTCCTGAGCAAAAAGATCATTGATTTGTACAACATGACCCACGCATTGTAACTTCTATGTGGGATGGGTTAGCATTTAAGCACTGATAAGGCCTTCCAGTTTCTCGGTAGAGTCAACTGCAGCGTGGAAAAAAGGATCCTGTTTTACCCTGTTGCTTTCCTTCCCTTGTTGTCAAGAGACTATTATAAGATCTGGGTATCCTCCAGAATCAGTGATCCCAAGATTATTTCAAATCCAATTCCGCTAAGTTTTCCGAGCCCTAAATTGAAGGACGGTGCATCCGAAACCTACAGTCACATAAGGAAGCAGGACAAATGGAAACAGGTAAAGCCCGAAGAGGCTAGAGGACCAGCGGTCAGTTAACCATCATGCTCGTCAACACTGGTAGCAGTAAGCTCATGTATTATTAACATCCGCATGGTCAAGGCAGAAGGCAGGGTACAAATGCACCTTATAGATCAGTGACATCAGAGGTGCATAAGATTTGTGAGCAACAGCTCACTTCATCACATGCTGTCACCAGCATCTCATGTATCTCTGATGTAGCCAGCCTTTAAGGTGCATCTCTGTCCGGCCTTCTGCCTGACTTCAAACTAAAATTGCTAACTACCTGTCTGCACACAGTAAGGATGGATCCTGATAGCAAGAAGGTGGATAAAAGGGGGAAGACAGGAGAGAAAGGCACCTAGGTGCTTTGGTACCTGGGATACTGCAGTGCAGAAGAGGGAAGGTGCATTGGATGGTTCAGCCAAAAGTATTGGGGCTGGCTATGAAAAGCACAAGCCTTCCCTCTCCTGTTAATTATTTTTTAAAAGAAACGAATACTTCAGCTTAACTGCACACAAGACTACAAACTGCATTTGTCACGCTGAGAATCTGCTGGCAGATCTGCTTTCATCTTACAAGAGATTTGACTGTTCTCAGCCCAGGGCTCCAGCATCCCAAAATGAGCTCCTCAAGCTTACAGGGGAAACAATAAGAATTAAGATCCTAATGAACTGTTGACTTTATAAATTACAGATTGAAGAGTTTCCCCCAAAGGGATGGCTTCCCCCTGCCCTTTCTCCTCCTCTTTTCTCAACTCCAATGTCTTGCCACCCCCTATTCAGGAGCATCCAATTGTGATTGCTTTATTTGCCAAGGTAATTTACTTTGTCTACTGAAAGAATAGCTAAAAAAGGATGATCCTCCACGTTTTTTTCCCACGTTAATAAAGGAATTTCTTTGACGGGTCCCCTGGGGGCAACATTTTATTGAATTTAGGATTGTTTAATATGAGCTACAAGATAAAAGAGGAGCATCTAAAAGAGAAGTACAAAAAAAAAAATCAAAGTTTCTCAGTGTGAGGAACGAAGGCAGGAGTTGAAACAGTCTCCTTTAGTTAAAAATAAGATTTCAGCCACCATTTGTTCTAAGAGATTAAATTAGGCTTTATGATCTCTAAGAGGCTGACTTTGTCTCCAGTTATTCCCATATAAAAGAGAAGCATCTAAAAGAGAAGTACAAAAAAAAAATCAAAGTTTCTCAGTGTGAGGAACGAAGGCAGGAGTTGAAACAGTCTCCTTTAGTTAAAAATAAGATTTCAGCCACCATTTGTTCTAAGAGATTAAATTAGGCTTTATGATCTCTAAGAGGCTGACTTTGTCTCCAGTTATTCCCATGCAAGCCTCTGTGAGGTTTACAGGATGCAGAATTTATTCCTAAAGTATCAAGGGACAATTGACTGGCCACATGCTGTACCCTAACAAAAGTAATGTTGGCCGTGATCCCAAGGCAGGCAAGTGCTTCACCACACCAAGAAACTTTAAGTGTATAAGCAGGTTCCAGGGACTTAAAGAGTGCAGCAAACATGAACGTACTCACATGCTTGAAATCCTACAAGCACGAGTCGATTTGTAGGTCTGGGGCACGTGGACCTGGTATTAGAGGCGAGCACTTCCAAAGTGGTGGGAACTTTCAGCTCTTCTGAGACACTCTTCTCATTCCCATCTGGACTCCAGGGGCTCTGTGCTCATACATATTCATACATACATGTCAAGAGAAGGTATTTGCTGAGCTGCCAGATTGTAGCATGTAGAAGAGATGGATTTAAAAACAAGAGCACTAAAAACAGGGAAGAGGGAAGTAAGATCCTATCCTCTCCCCTGTTCTCAGAGTGGAGACTTCATTGCTTGGGTGGGTTTTGCCACCAATATCAAAGCGGAGCCTGAAATCTTAAGTCTCATCTGATGCAAGGAGCCTCTCTTAAGTGCTAAATCATATATAGCTGACAATCGTAAAACCTTGGAGGCCTCTGGGTCAAAGCAGGAACGCTAATCCAAATGTCTCATCCAATACCCAGCTCCTAATTAAAAGTGCTTCCAGGACCTCGGTCCTGCTGAGAAGCTTTGTGAGCGAAGAAGTGACTCATCTGAAGCATTCCCTCCTCTGCCCTGCATGTTCAAAACCATGCGTCTGATGCTAGTAATCCAAAGCCTGGTTCTCCACTACTTAGCACCTTCTGCACTACCTTTGTAAAACGATTGTAAGAAGCGCAGCACAATGGGAACCCAGACTTCCAAATTCAGCCGTCCGTCTCCATCTTGGATGGATTGCACAGGTGCTGAAGACCCTGCAACTCACACCGAGCTCACCAGGAACTGCAACCTTTCAGCACCCCTGTAATTCCTTTAGTTGGGTGCTTGATGCATTTCTAAGCCAATTCTTCAACTCTTTTCAATAAGATTCAACAGCAACAGATCAGGTACATCCTATTCAGAGACCAGAGAATAGTTTTGCATTGCAGGCAGGTGGGGGAAAAAGGGGTTCTACATTCCATACTGCATTAAGTAGTTGGGGGAAAAAATACAAATATTGCATACAATATCCAAGCTAACTCTCTAGTTTCAGGAACACTGAAAATGTTGACAGTCGCTCTCAATTAATATCCACAAATGAAAAGCTACTCCTAAAACATAATCCCCTAAGTGCAGTCCCAGCTTTAAACTACATTTCTTACAGCTTATTCTCCAAAAAGCAAGTCCTTTAAAAACAAATGTTAAGCAAGATGTCCAATTAATTTTAGGGAAGGTGAGCAATACGCAGCAGCTGATTTAAATTTCAAATTAAAAATGCCTGACCACAATTTCATATGAGAAATTTTACACCAGCCTCCCCACCCCCCAGATAATTATTTTCCATGGTTCCCCCCCAACACGCAAACACAAAGACTTGTTTAAGGACACAAAATACAGTTTGCCTCCATACAAAACATGCAGGCTTTAATCTCGCCAGTTGGAACCTGGCAGCCTCCCATGGCTACAGTTCAACAAAGCAACAATTCTATAAAAAACCTGCAGGATACTAAATATGTAGCTGTAAGTTGCCATATTCCTTGGTTCAATAAGGAAGAATTTTTTGGACAGGTGCAAAGTCCATAAAAATGTTACCAGGGAGAAAGTCTTTGGGGAAGACTCATCGTGTAGGACTAAGAGAAATGACTAGAGACACCTAATGCACAGGTCAAACGGAACGGTACCAGCCCGCAACACCGGTCTTGCGATGCCTTACTCACCCCTTCTCAACTGTGCTGTGGCCCCTAATACATGTGTGTTTGTAGACACACGAGTATACTTCCGGGTCATGGTGAGCCACACAAGCTGAAAAGCAAAGCAGGGGCGCTATAAAGTTTTGGGAGACGTTCCCTGAAGATGAACCACTTTTCCTGTAGTACCCCTTCTTCTTATGGTGCATTTCTGCTGTTGAGAGATTGATGCAAGTGTGATGGCATCAGCCATGCATGGAAGTGGTAGGTTTGAGTCCATGAAGGAGGCACAGTCAAGAGCAAGTTTACATTGAAAACACGATGGTTTGGGGAGGACCTGGCTGGTGACGGAAAGGAAATGTGTATTATAGTTCCCTCTCCCCAGTCCATTGCAGTTCAAGAGTTTGCAAGCTATGCTGCCTCTCACAGCTTCCTGGGCCAGATTTCTAAAATATGATGACAAGGTTTGCACTAAATAAGATACTGGACCTGGACTAACCTGGAGTTAGTCATCTTTTATCCACCAGATAGGGACAGCCCAGCCAAGGCAGCACAACCTTCCTTCCCACCTTTCCAATAAGGTGCTTCAGGTCTGAACAGATGTGCCGAAGAGCAGGATTAGAAACCTGCAACCCAGGCCCCACACAATTCTTAGCATTTCTTCTGAGGGGATCTGCTTCCAGACCAATGGTGGGCTTATTTTATCACCTAGAAACCAGGTCTGAACTGAAAGCCATAAGCACGTCCACGTTTTTTAGCCTGCCTCTGTAAGCATTGCAATTTCATTACTTTATTCTACTGTCTCTCCCAACTTTTAACATTCACGGCCAACTGGAAGAGTCAAAGAGAGGGAGGAACTTAGTGTCCCGGCATGTGAAAGAGAAGCCCTCACACCCTCCTGTTAGGAAAACTGGTTCATTCCTTCGAATAGCTGGACGTGAGCAAATTATTATTCAACATAAGCCAAGGCCTTTTGACTCGATACATATTCTCTCCTGCCTGAGATGTCCAGAACAAAAGCATCCCCTGGGCCCAGGAGTATCCTTGATCTTCCCATCTCGAAGCGTTCCAGCATCTGCATAAATAGCAAGGTGCCTCCCAACTTACTTTAGCCATCTGTAAATGGACTCGAACTGAGCATAGCTTTACTGGATCAGTTTAATTATGCTGGAGTAGAACATTTCACAGGACCAGCAATATCTTGAGTACTTGGATTTCCCCGCATCTTATGCCCCTGCTTGATTTCTTTGGCCATACCCCAGCCAATTTTCTCGGTGGGAATCCTTGGGCAGTTTACACTCTGCTGCTCACTTCCTAGCCTACGTCAGGCCTTCCTCAGCCACCAGCGAGCATCAATCAAGACTCCCATGCTACAGCCAGAAGTGAGCCAGGGAGTGGAATTTCGTTTCAGGCAGGCAACGAGTGACTTTGGCTCATTTGTCATTTTGTCCTACCTACTCCTACCCAAACCTTTCCTATTTCATCTTAAGAGAAGAACCCAGGCATCTTTACAGAATTGTGTGACTGAGCAAAGCAACAACTAAGAACCTTACTTTTGAATCCCACAAAAACCTAATGCAAAGCTGGTAGGAAAATATATCGGGAACAAAACAACAGTCTAAACAGCTCTCTAATAGATTTAATCCATTATGTATGTTTTACACAAGTAGCTGATAGGAACGCGGTTAAAGCCCGCATTTCAGTGACTGGTCTTTTCGCGGTAAGGTGGCATGATTTTTCTGCAGGGAGGCATGATTATGTCAAGGTACTTGCAAAAGAGAGAGCAAAGATGCTATTATCACTGGAGTTGTCGTTACTTCTTCGTTTAACTGTATGTCTATAATTTCCTTATTGCAGCTCCAGCGCTTGCTACTTTTATACTCGAGAAATGCATATGGTATTCAAAACTATTTGCATTTTGATGCTTTCCAGAGTAGAAGAAACCACAGAAGTAAAGAACCCTCAGCTTGCTTGGCATTTAGCCGCAGAAACAGGCATACAGTATATATTGTACAGGCACACCAGTTCCCCTGCATTCCCAGTTTAAAGAGTTAGTATATGTTTGTGAATAGAGCACTGGAAGAAGGTGATGCAGTAATGTGGAGGGAGGGGGAGGGAGAATCAGCATTACAACTTTCAAGAGTGACCAAGTTTTAGAGATTATTGAGAAGTCGGATGAGATGTTCACAGAGATCATCTTACAAAAGGCGCGGCGGTAAGAGCGGGGAAACTTACACACTGATGTCTTCTGGTTATTGTCTTTGCTGGGCATTAGCTTCACTCCTCGGGACTTCAGCTCAATTTGCTTCTTGACTGGAGAAAGATTTGAAACAGAACAGGAAGACGGTTACACAGAGTCGTGAGGGCTTTGCTACAGACTTTGATGCACCAATTTTATATCTCCCATGCTTACACGGTGTGGCCTTTTGACTCCCAGCTACACTCAACAAATATAGAGATGAATAGGTGTCACAAGCTTATTCAATGCCCGGGGCTGGGGGGCATCAATGCCTAGAGGGAGCCAAGGGTGGGGAAGGGAAGTCTTACCCACCCATGCTCTCTGCACATGGGACACAGCGGTTACTGCCACTGCCTCCGCTGCTGCTGTAGCCCCGGCTGCCTTCCCTGTGCAGAGGCTGGCACAGCAGCCCCATGGCATGGGCCTCCCTGAGAGCTACCCCTGGCATCTCTGTTTGTTCCCCACACGCACCATATGCTACTGGGTGCAGGGTGGCTGTGTTACTCTTATGGCCAGGCCGGGGCAATACAGGGCTGCCCCAGCCATGGTAAAGACTCCCGGGGGGAGGATTCTGGTGCCCTCTCCTAGCCAGCGCCTGGGGTTGGTGCCCCACTTGCCCCACCCTATTAGGCTACTGGATTTATAAGTTTGCTAGTGCCTGGCTGTTCAGGCACTTGGCCCTATAGTTCAAAAAGTAAAGGCTCAATGGCTGAGACCAGTGGTTTTCAGCCCATGGCCTGCAGGCCACACGCAACCCGATCAACACACTACAGCGGCCCATGTATCATCCTGTTAAATGGAAGTAAGTTATGTGGGTGCAGCCCATATAGTATATTGAGAGCTGCAAGTATGCCCCCCATAGCAAACGGGTTGAGAACCACTGGCTTAGACCCTGAGATTTCAGGTTCGTGGTCCCAGCTAGGGCCTCCCTGCCACGTCTAAAGAAAATAGGGGCATTGCAAAGTGCTTCCGCTCTCATAAAGTGTATTTCAGTGAAACGAAAATGTGATTTATAGAAGCTGTGTCCAATATGCATGACAATCACAAATAGGAGCCTCGAGTTCAGTTTCTCACTACTGACTTTATTACTTATAACTTGCACCAGTCAGCATCTCTTTTACATGTCTGCATAGCTCCTCCCTCCTGAACGGGAATCTTTTAGGTGTTCCCATAAAGGAAGAGGGGGGAAAAAAAAGTTTACCAACCCCAGAATTCCCACTAAAGGTATGACGTATTGGCTACTCATTAGTCTCATGTTTAATTAGCTTCAACCATCCAGTAATGGATCAAAATCAGCACCAAATGACTTGAGGCCAGATAGGTACTTAATCCTCATTTGTTTCAATGGGAGCTAGACACAAATACCTTTAAGGACCACAGCCTGCGGCAACAACATATGCACAGTATAAATAGCCAACAGTGAATAACTCGACAGTGCCTTTTTGGGGACCATAAGTATGTTTTGCAAGCAGCAGGCTAGAGGGAAATACTGAGACAGTTTGGGGATCTGAGCCAGACCCTGAATCAAGTTTCATTCATTACGTTGCTGGTATAATTGTTAAATGGAGGCATTTTACACAAACACTCTGCTTCATCAGGAGGACTATACTCAAACCAAGCAGTCCATAGCCTGAAAATGATTCACACAAAACCATCCAGAAAATATTTATGAACAATACATCCATACATTTGGAAAGAGGGCCTTTTTGCAATGCATTCAGCAATGAAAAGAGGGGCTGCACTATTAAAACAGATTATGTGCACAGAATACAGCAAAACAGGCCTACAAGACATCCTAATAATAGCTACAGGCAAATGAGTTCTCTCCACTTGACTAGGCTTTATATAAAAATACTGAAGTCTTTTAACACAGCGGTCCAAAGATCCACGGGCAGAGGGGAATGGGAGATATTCTAGCTTCCAGCCCATTCAATGGGAATCTGCCATCATCCTAGATTTCCTTGTATCGGGTACATCATAGGAAGACTAACACTTGGTTTGGATTCTGCCATGCTATTTCAGGGATGCTCTTCTGACCAGCATCTAACCCAGGGGTGGGCAAAATGCAGCCCGGGGGCCGGATGCAGCCCACCAGGCCCTTCTATCCAGCCTGCGGGGCCCCTTCAAAATTTAGAAAATTAATATTTATCTGCCCTGGGCTACCTGCTATACGGCCCTTGATGGCTTGCCAAAACTCAGTACGCGGCCCTCTGCCCAAAATAATTGCCCACCCCTGAAACCTATACTAAGACTTTTGCTAATGTAGCTATGCCTTTTAAGTGTAGGCATAGACTAAATAAGCATAGTTGAACTTTTGCCATTTTAATTTGCACATTAAAGGGGCATAAATAGGAAAGGGTGGGCGGGGGCAGGAAAGAAGAGAGCAAAGGGCATATGAAAGTCTGCATGGAAGTAGGCCAAGTGCCTGCTTTTCCCCAAATGCGCTCATATTAATTACTCCAACATCAATGAAGACACATGTGCTTCCCTCCATCCACTCACATGTAGGTATACCCTAGGGACTCTGGCTGTCCTGCAGCCGAACTGATCATCACCTCTGCTTCTGAATTTGTGCAGTGTTTGGCCGAGGTGTCCCAAGAACTTTTTATGCTCTGGGCAGTGGCAGTAGTTGGGGCAATATTACTGCCATTATTACTCCCCTTCTAAGTCAGTGCCCAGGTCTGGTACCTCACTTGGCCCCCGTCACCCCCTGGTTACGCTCCTGGTGTTTGGGGGCAGCCATCATAGCATTTCGAAGGTTAAAGAGCAGCTCCGCTAGGAAAGCCAGCGTTCCCATAACTGCTTCAGATGAGCCTTTCCCCCACAGTTTATTTTTAATCTCCCAAGCAAGCCAGTCCATCCTCCACTTCAAACAGTCCCTTTCTGTACTTTATCATGTCATGCTTTCATCGCTAAATTAGCACATTTCTAAGACAAACTTGTCAAGAAAAATCATCAATTTAATTAATAGGGGGGATTTTTTCCCCCCTTTTCTTTTTAATCATACCCTTTCAGTTAAAAGGGAAAAAAAATCTGTTAAAAGCATCTGTTTGCAGGAGGTCCAGATAAGGAGATGCCAAATATTATTCCTTGAAGCTTAACCAAACTAACATTTTCTTTACTCTAAATGTTTATTTGCAACTTTCTGCTTTGTCGAGTGGCTACACCGTTTTGTCTTATTTATAAATACAGGAGTTAAAAAACTTCAAACTAAGGTCCATACTCATTAAAAGGTATATATAACTATGGGATTAGGCAGCTCAGCTCATGTCTTTCCTTGAGCATTACTGCCATTAATCTATTTTTTTAATGGAATAATTAACAGTATGCTCATTTCAAAGGCAAACCTAAGGCACACATCTTGTTTAAACACCAGCTAGTAGAGAATATGAAGGTCTCTGAATGCCTTCAGCTGGCAACACATTCATCTAGAGGCATAGTATAATGATCTGCAGATATATGCAACCTGCTGTCTCCAGAGGCATTATTTAGCAGCAAATATGCTGCATCAGGAAACTGAAATGCTGACCTTTGGCTGCAAAAGCCTACACGTTTTGGGAAACCAAGACGCTATTTCTGGCTCAGCCAGATATAGAGCTGGCTGAAAGAACTTTTCTTTCTTCCTTTCCCGCCCTTCCATATCCCATGAAAAAAGTTCAAATGAAATGGTTTCATTTGAGATGGTAAAAGAACAGATTAAACTAATTCTGCTTCTTGGTCACTCTCCAAAAAACATCCTTAACTTTGGAACAGATCCAGTAACAAAAAGAAGCACGGTTCATTTATCCTTTTGTCACTGGGGAGGTTTTACAAAATTCAATGAGCTTGGAAAAAAGTGACAGGAAAAAGGGAAAAATAAAAAAACTAAAAAAAGTGTGACTGAAAACCATACACTTGATGTTATGAGCTAAAAAGAAAGAAAATACCAAAAAATGGGGAAAAAAGGAGAAATGGACAATGACAATTGGATATGTCGAGTTCTTTTACTTTTTAAATTACATTTTTTCAGTTAGAAACAAACAAAGATGGCTTCATTTATAAAGCCTTCATTAAAAAAATAGTTTAAAAAAAATCCCATTTTTGGTGGGACAACTGTCCTGTGGAAAAGGTTTGCTCAATTTTAACTACACATGGAAACATAGAAGGAGCAAGAGATAACCTGACGTGAGCTAGAGAAAAGTCAAATAGTCTTGAAGACTGAGAGCAAATTTAGTTCTGATACAGAAGTGACTGAAGTCATGTTCAGTTTGGGTCTGGGTTTGCCAAGTACAGTTTTTCCCCTATAGAAGAAGGCCATAAGGATGTTAATCCACTGGGAGGGAGCAAAGAATATCTTCAAAAACTGTACCTTGAGCATACAGTACAGGTAAACACTGCAAAGTGCCTAGTAGCGATACCTTCATAAATGACTAAGAAATAAGCTTAGCAATTTGAAGGCATTTGTTACCTACAGGAATTGATAATAACCCACTTATAAGGTACCTCTTTACAGATCCAGATTTACCATCGTTCTACAAAAGCTGGCAGTACCAAACAACTTGCACATCATTCTCATCAGAAATGTAGATTCATTTAAACTGAACTGCTTCAGAGTGAAGAAATCAGTCCTGTGCCGCATCAAGATTTCTAGACAAATAATTTCCCTGAGCCCCTTGCATTCCAGCCATAAGCTGGATCCTATATCAGGACCTTGGTGCCCCTTGCATTACAGCCATAAGCTGGATCCTATATCAGGACCTTTGTGAGGTGCAGGAGTGCACTTTAATCTAGAAAAGCAACTCGTGGGTGGGACGTGCCTCTATATAAAACATGCCAAGATGACAGCATGAGTCGGCAGTCCCTTCCACGATGCTTTAATGCAAGCCAGGATGTAGGCAACCCTTTGGGGTATCACTACCCCTTTGGGGTATCATCTTAGCCTTGAAGCTGGAGAACTAGACAGAGATTACAGGGGCTGTCTGAAACATCTGCACTTGAGACTTCTGTCGGCCTGGCATGCCAAAAGGTCCCATCCTTGCCCAGTTTAGCTAAGCTAACAAAAGCTCCCAGTGTAGACGTAGTTTTAGTGCGTTTT